TAATATCGATATATTTTTGTCAAATTTTTATGATATCTTCAAATATATATTTTATTCAAAAATAAAAATATTATCGTTTTTTCAAAATCACATAAAACCATATTATAACATCAACTGAGATAAAGAATAAAATAAAATATTAAAATCATAATATATTTCGCTGCATTAGACGAGTACTCTTCTAATTCTAGTAGACTAATAATATAAAAAAGTAAAAATAAACCCAGCGGCTTCTTTACACAAGGTTACCTGTTTTTCTCCTATTTTGAGTCCTGTTCTTCATCGTCTATCTGTGTTCTTCTCTTTTCATTCTATTTTATTCAAGACGCACAGCAAATCAAAGCAGGTACCCACGGATTGCGAATCATCTCTCTATCTACTGGAATCTTTCTTGCTCTTCTTTCTCTATCTCAACAAATTAACCATTTTTTAAGAGTGTGTTCACGACTCATTCGAGTTTTTATCATATGCACAAGCTCTTTCGTCATTACGATCTGTATATTAGAAACTTGATAAGAAACAACATGAATGTATATAGACCCTAGATGCCAACCATATCTATTACTTGCTTCAATTCCCTTGCATTGTATTATTTCTCTTCATCAAGCGAGAAAATGTTGATTTTAATTTGTACATATAATGATTCAATTTTACTTCTTTGAACTGGGCTTCATTTATTTGTTCTATTTCGTTTTATACTAAAGTGTCAGCTCTGTATATAATTGATTGAGTTGGAGGTTATCTTTTGATTTGAGATGGATCATACATGACATTTAACATGCATATCAGATGTTTGATAAAATGCCTCAGTGATATCTTGTTTGGACATGAACAAAAATCCCCATGTGTAAATTAAGAGGAAAATCCCCGTATATTCTCTGATAAAATGCCTCGAGTCATGAATTGGAGAACCACCCATGCTTTCATCTTTGTTGCAAAAACTCCATTGCTTCTTCCATATCCTTGCCCGAGCCCTTGATCAAACCAAGAACATGAACAATAGACCCTTTGGTTTGAGCAGAAATTGCTTCCACTACACTCTGGTCTTCAGAGGTAATAACTTCAAATCATTCATCATCATTTAGTTTCCCTGCTGTGAAGGCTTCAGTCTTACTCATCTTTCTTTCTTCCTAATCACTTATTGTGGCAACCTCACAACTCTCTTGGTGGTGTGTTTCTGTTTTCATCAGTAGTCACCATGGGAATTAAGAATAATTTGGAAAACAAAACCTTCATGGGTCGGTATATCAGTTTGTAGTTATGTATATACAGTTGTGGCTACTTGTTTCTAGGGGTTTTTAAGGCCCAGACTCAAGTTGCTTCACTTTTTTGACAGGATGTTCAGTAAATTCTTCCAAAATTCATTTGCCAAGGCATCATCTTCCCTTTCACCTTTCTGCAGGAAAATCAAGGATGCTTACAACTCAGATCTGTCGATTGTTGTTGTACATTTTCTTCACTCGACTTCTGGTACTGCTCAGTGATGTTTGGCATTAAGAGTTAGAATTTGGTTGCTGGTTCTACTTTTGTTGGGTGAGAAATAAAGCCCAAATCTTTTCCGTGCAATTCATCTGCATGCCAACTGTTTGACATTTGGCTCCAAAGAGTTTGTTTACCAAATATGAGGAGAAATTCAATATTACTACCATTTCCTACGTACCGACACTTAAGATCTTCCCTACATGACAAAGTTTGGGATGCCAACTTATTTGGGAAATCAGGTTTTATGTGGGTTCAAATCATGCACAAAACCAGTGGAGGAAGACGACCTAAAAAGAAAGTCTACCACAGAGTGCATGAACTAGACAAAGTCATGGACCTCCAAAAGAAACCCTCCGTGATCCTGAAGCTGAAATCAATCATCCAATCACAAAAGAACCAGTCTTTGCTTCTCAGGGACCTCGAAAAAGAAGTTGGGTTTATTCAGAAATGGAACTTCATAGCTGTTATTGAGAAATACCCGTCAATCTTCCATGTGAGTGGTGGTCATAAAACACCACCTGCAGTCATGCTTAACAGAAAAGCCGAAAAGGTTGCTGCTGAGGAAGCTGCTGCCAATGAATTAATGGAACCCATTTTGGTCAAGAATCTCCGGAAGTTGTTAATGTTGTCGGTTGATTGTAGGCTTCCACTTGAAACCATTGATTTCATTCAGCCTGAATTGGGTTTGCCTTCAGATTTCAAGAAATCTTTGCTTCCAAAATTTCCTGAATTTTTCTGTGTGAAAGATGTACATGGAAGATCCCATCTCGAACTGGGAAATTGGGATTCCTCACTTGCAATTACTGCTCGTGAGGAAAGATGGTTACATGAAAGAATCTTGAACACTTCTGGGCATTCAAAAAGACCCCGGATTTCAAAAGATGGCAACTTTCCTGGCCCTTTTGCTTTTCACTTAAAATTCCCTGTTGGATTTAGACCAAACATGAGTTATCTTCAAGAACTTGAAAAATGGCAGAAGATGGAATTTCCTTCTCCCTACTTGAATGCAAAGAGGTTTGAAGTTTCTGATCCTAAAGCTCGGAAACGGGTGGTAGCAGTTCTTCATGAGCTTCTCAGTTTGACCATGGAGAAGAGGTTGACTTCTGCCCAATTGGATGCATTTCATTCAGAACTGAGATTACCAGCCAGATTATTGCTCTGCTTAATTAAGCATCATGGTATTTTTTACATAACTAACAAAGGTGCAAGAAGTACTGTTTTTCTTAAAGAAGCTTATGATGGATCAAGATTGGTTGATAAATGTCCCCTTTTGATGTTTAGGGATAAGTTTGTAGCACTCACTGGTAGGAGAGATATTGAGCCTTCATCACATGCTATATGATCATCAAAGTTCAAGAAAATGAATTTAGATATTTGATCATTTTTTGTTGAATCATATGGCTGTAGTTTGCCTTGGTTCTTTGTGATTCAATTTGGTTTTACCTTCTCTGCCATGATTGCTAGTCCGTAGTTCTTTTTCGGGTGTTGGTTTGTGACAACGAGCACAACTTATAGCCTAATGACGGACACCAAACACATGCGTCAAGCTTGAGCACTGTTAGTCTCATAAGGGCTAGGTTTGGATCTTTTGACTTCGGTGTATGTTGGAACCCCCTTTTCTCCTTAAATGCCTCGATCTTCTGCCACTGGGCAAGTGTCAGCTCCTATACATGATCTCACGATTTTGCAGAGACCTGTGTTTTTTGGGAAATAGTCGCCTGGGCCTGGCCCTGATGCTTAAGATACTCTTTCAGCAACTTTTTCTTAACTTAGGGCGTTAGTTGGTCTCATGACTCTTTTGGAGGTAATTAATATGAGATGATGGATCATTGTGAGAATAAGAGTTAAGATAAGAAGCATAAGAAGGGATCTGGACCTTTGATCACTTTTTATCTCACCCTTACCCTATGAATTGCAATTGATACGAGAATTGATCTGGTTTATCTCATATTTTTAGATCTTCAATTATGATTGATCTAAAGGCGCATATCTCTTCTCATTATAACTTTCATTCTCATCAGAACCCAACCTTTAATATGAAGGGTTCCGTTTATCTCACATGGTATCAAAATCAAAGTGACGCATAACGAAACGGGAAATAAAATACAAATATGATAAAAGAGCTTCAATATTATTATTCAATGATCCTTAGAGGACTACAAATAGGCCTTTTATAGGCAAAACTAATTTTGGCAAGGCAGCCAAAGTTTCAAAATTCAAGAATTGAGAATTAAATGAACAATCACAAACTATTGATTTCACGTGATCCGATTACAATACGATCTATGCCATAATAAAACGAAAACTAAAAAAAACGTAAAAAATATTTGGAGTTGGATTCAGTTGTGACGAAAGAACTCAGGCTCGAAATGTGGACCGCACCGCCTTAGGCATTTTGAAAATGTCTAACCTATTGCAAGCATTCTGTGCATATCTTAACGGCCTCGTAAGACCGTAACTTCAAGCAGATTGAAAGTTATGGTCTTTTTTGAATCAAGGTTCTATCAAGCTCGTTTGTTTTTATCCCACTAATCCATGAACAAGTCCAACAACTTTTGGATCTGCTCCACGTATCAACCAATTATAGTTGGTATTAATTGGTTTTCAATATACATGTTGGTACAGTTTTTGTAACACCCCATACTCCACATTTGCATAAAACACATATTTCATTACATAGAAACATGGATTACATCAAAAGGTCCCACTAGTACACGGATTGCTATATGTACAAAATCTACATATAAAAATTCCAAAACTAATCCTGTACTACTACATGAATTACAACATGTATCTTCAAAAGCAGGAAACAGAT